CAGGCCCTCCTGTGTACTCTCTTTCAAATTCACGGCCCCCTTTTCTTCAATTATTCTTACATATACTATAACCCCCTAATTATAATATACATAATATGAGCCCCTCATTGATCCAAGCGGACCCTCCCAGGCCTTCTCTAGCTCAGTCTTTTTGAGACAGTGTCTTGTCTCCTATGCAGGCGTTAACCAGCCTCCTGCCTCCACTGTCCTGCGATTACGGGTGTGTGGTGCCACGCTGTTTTACTGAGGCTAGGGATGCGATCCCAACGCCTTGTCCATGCTAGCGGAGATCCGTTCCCAGCCTTCTGCTTGCTTCATAAAAGACTTAGTTCTGTTACTAGGACGGCTGTACGTGTGATGTGCGTGGGTGTGCATACCACAGTGTGTGTTACTGCCAGAGGCAGTCTGTCCTCTCCTTGTACTGTGAGATCTGGGGCCTGAGGTCACACTGCGCCTGCGCAATGAGCACTTCTAGCCATTGGGCGATCTCCCAGCTTTCCAGCCATGTTTTCACACCAGACGACTGACTGTTCCAATCGTCCCCTTTTCTCAAACCAGGAACACCTCTTTCAGTCTTTCCTTTTAGTTGAGGAGATTTAAAAAGATTGTGCTGTATTTGAGGAGTCTCTGTAAGGCTCCAGTATTGATGGTAGAGCAGAAGCCAGAGGCCTTGAACCCGACTAATGAGTCATTGCAACGAACATTTGCTAAAAAAGCTGTCTGGGCAAATACTGTGGGACACGCTGTGACATACTGCAGCTTCAGCTGTGAATTACTTTTTTTTAAGGTTTATTTATTATGTACACAGTGCTCTGCCTGTATATATGCCTGCATACCACAAGAGGGCACTATATCTCATGCAGATGGTTGTGAGCCACCATGTGGTTGCTGGGAATTGAACTCAGGACCTCTGGAAGAGTAGTCAGTGCTCTCAACCTCTGAGCCATCTCTCTAGCCTGAATTTTTTTTTTAATGATTTTTTAAAATTTTCTTTTGGGGAAACGTTACAAGGGTGGAGGGTGGATATGGAAGGGCCAGAAGGTGAGTGAGACTGGAGTGTATGATGTGAAATTCACAATCAATAAAAATTATGAAAAGATATTTTATTATTACACTAATTAGTATAGAAGCCAGAGATAATTTGCAGGAGCCAGTCTCCTGCCACCATGTGGGTTCCAGGGACTCAATTCAGGTCATCAGGCTTGGCGGCTATTGCCTTTGCCCATGAGCTGCTATCGCCTTGCTGGCTGGCTGCTTATTCTGTACACTGGTCTAGCTATGTTGTTCAGGCTGGCTTCAAACTCCTAGGGTCAAGTGATCTTCCTACTTTAGCCTCCTAGCTGGCTAGGACAGCAGGTGTATGCCCCGGAGCTAGGCCTAGGGCATTAACTCCTGGTTTTGATGATCTATCACCAAAGTATCCTTGTAAGAAGTAAGCACTGTAGCACTTGAGGTGGTGGAGTGACAAGATGGGACCCACATCGGAAACACTCATACAAACCATCGCTTCAGAAATACAACTTCTTAGTGATACACACCTGTTGAGCCTCACACTGGTGAAGCAGAGGCAGGAGGATTGCAAGTCTGAATCAGGCCTGAGCTACATAGCAGGACTGTGTCTCAAAAGTAATCATCATCCAAACTAAAGTCTTAAAAATACTAAGACCTGGGGGCTGGAGAGATGGCTCGGTGGTTAAGAGCACTGACTGCATTTCCAAAGGTCCTGAGTTCAATTCCCAGCAACCACATGGTGGCTCACAACCATCTGTAATGAAATCTGATGCCCTCTTCTTGTGTGTCTGAAGACAGCTACAGTGTATTCATATATAATAAATAAATAAATCTAAATAAAAAAATACTAAGACCACATTTCTTTCTTTTGAGACTGGGTCTCATCATGTAGCCCTGACTGTTCTGGAACTTGCATTGTAGACCAGGGTGGCTTTGAACTCAAGAGATTGGGTTGCTTCTGTATCCTGAGTGCTGGGATTAAAGGTGTAGACCACCACCACCCAGTTTTTAAACAAATATTTATATATATTTCTTATAAATATATTATATATATGTTTCTTTTTTATTTAAAGATTTATTTATTTACTTATTTATATGAGTACACTGTAGCTGTCTTCAGACACACCAGAAGAGAGCATCAGATCCCATTACAGATGGTTGTGAGCCACCCTGTGGCTGCTGGGAATTGAACTCAGGAATTGTGGAAGGGCAGTCAGTGCTCTTAACTACTGAGCGATCTATCTCTTTAGCCCCATATATTGTTATAAAATATGTATATTTATATATTTTATTTTTATTAAATATATTTATGTGTGAGCAAGTGTGTAGCACACAGAGGTCAGAGGACAACTGTCAGGAGTCTGTTTTCTCCTTCCAGCATGTGGGTCTGCAGAAGTGAACTCAGGTGGTTGGGCTTGGTGGCAAGGGCCTTACTCCTGAGCCATGAGGAGTCTGTGTTTGAAACAGGGTCTTCTGTAGCTGAGGCTACATTCTGTAGCTCAGGAAGGCCTTGGAAGCCTGACCTCCTGACCCTACCTTCCACGTGCTGAGGTCACAGGTGTTAACATCCCTTATCTGACTTCCATAGACAGTTGTTGTTGTGTTTGTTTTTTTTTTTAAACAGTTTCTTTGTGTAGCCCTGGATGTCCTAGAACTCACTCTGTAGACCAGGCTGGCCTCAAACTCAGAAATCCCCCTGCCTCTGCCTCTCCAGTGCTAGGATCAACAATGTGAGCCACCACACTGGGCCTTGCTTTCTTAAGACAGTCTATTATTGAACCTACAACTCACCTTTTGACCCGACTGGCTCCTTATCAAGCCCTGATATCCACCTGGTTTTGTCCATCCTTCCCCTCCCCAAGTACTGAGGTCACAGACACACACCTTCAAGCCTGGCTTTTATGTAGGTGCTAGCTATTTGAAACTAGGTTCACAAACGAACAGCAAGAACGGTACCCTGAAACTGGAGTTACAGATGGCTGTGCACCAGCCCAAATTTGTAGGTCTTTAATAATTAAAAAGTTAAAAAAAAAAAAAAACAAGCTGGTCCCTACCCTAAAATCACCGACTCGCCCGCAAGTACTTACCGTGGACTTGTGGCTTTAAGGCATTCATTTATACACCTGAATCACCCCAGAGAATAAGGGCGGGGATCCGGAGTTTGCTGCAGAGTGTGTTTTCTTTTTTTAAACTTTTTTTTTTTTAAAGGAAACAAAACGTACTATTTGTAGGGAAAAAAAGTAGAAAAAAGGAAAGAAAACAAAACCCTGGCAGCCTAGAGAGGCTCAGTTTTGTTTTTTTTTGTTTTTTTTTGTTTTTCGAGACAGGGTTTCTCTGTATAGCCCGGGCTGTCCTGGAACTCACTCTGTAGACCAGGCTGGCCTCGAACTCAGAAATCCGCCTGCCTCTGCCTCCCGAGTGCTGGGATTAAAGGCGTGCGCCACCACCGCCCGGCCGAGGCTCAGTTTTTTTATCTTTTTCTTTTTTCTTTTTTTTTTTTGGTGTGTGTGGGTGGGTGGGCTTCCTGCAAAAGGAGAGGTGCCAGCTTGGAGCTCGCCTTTTTCCCGCCTTTTGGCTTTGGCCTTTGGTGGTGGGGTGGTGGGTGGGGGTTGGGGGGAGGGCAGCTGTCTGGCAGTCTGAACTTCCTGTGTTTGGGAAGCTGAGGTCTTACATGAACATTCGCCCATTGTTCTTGAGGAGAGTGAGGTCACAGTAACTTTACAAGCAGCTGTTGCAAACGGAGACACCAAGTGTTCTGCCCCAGCCAAGATCAAGGCGGCTTTCCTCGGCCGCCAAGAAACGGGGTTCCCTGAAGTACCAATAAACTCACCCACATGCTCTCTTCCCCAAATCCTTTCAGTTGGAACTGAGTCCTGGGGTGGGGGTTGGGGGGGCATTGCCATGTGGGCTGTGGCTGACTGGGATCAGGCAGGAGAACTGTGGTGGGCAGGGCTGCCTCCAGGGACCATTACTTTCCACGCAGCCTATCCTGCCCTGAGACATTTCTCCAGTCAACTCACACTGCCCCAGGGACCGAGGTGGCACCTGGTATTTTCAAATATTGAGCAGATCCTGGTGAGAACATGGATGGACCCTTTGGTCTTAGCTTTGAGGGGAAGGAAACTCAAGCCCACCATGCCAAACTTCTTTCCAGGAAGGAATGGGATCCAGAAGGCCAAAGCAATTCTAACAGGAAATGACATAATGCATCAAGCTTAAGCCAAGAAACCAGTCAGATCAAGAAACCAGTCAGGAGTATGCAGACTTGCTTTAGCCCACCTAGAAAGGGGCAGGAACAAGAAGGCTGGTGACCTTACACAAAACTGCATCATCAGACCCTGTTCCAGTCTTGTTAATTTCTTCAGTGATGGCGTCAGCTAAAGGAAGAAGGCAGATGTGGGACGGAGCGCAGAGCATGAAGGAGAAGGCTGCTGGTGGGGTTGGCGGGCCTGGCCTCGAACAGTCTAATATAGAGATGAGGAAAACCAAGGTTTGCAGTGATACAGTTTTTGGAACGCCAGCTCTGGTGATAAATATCCTTGTGCTCCCAAGCCGTCTAGAGATGGTTTATAAGGCACGAGGACATGGGGGGGGACCGCATGGAGGGCAGGTGTGAGAGTAGTCCTATCAGGCTCCTCTCCTCAGCCTGGGTAGTCACTGACTGTCTCTGAACTGGCCTGTCCCCGACCTGGCACACAGAGGGGCTTGAGTGTGTGATCACAGGCCTCTTCCCCACCCTTCTCTCCAAGGCTGCCTGGTCTTGTGCTACACCTGGTCAGGGACAGCCTCCCAGCCTCAGAGCTAAGCAGGTCCCTGTAAGTCACCTCCTAGGGCACTCGAGCCAGCTCTAACAGGGGAAGTACACACAGCCTCAGGGGAAGATCACACAGCCTCATAAGAGCACCTGAGGGTCCCTGGCCCTACCCACCTGGTCCACCTGAAGGGTTACAGGGAAGCCAGCATAAAGAGGGATTGCTGCCACACAACAGTCACGGTGGGGAGAGGCCTCCACGTTTTATTAGGGACAGCGCAGAAGCAGAGCAGCTGCTTTTCAACAACAGATAAATTAACCGCAGTGCGGGCTGGGTGTGGGGACCGGGCCAGGCGCTTTCATATATATATATATATATATAAAAACAAAGATGAAGACAGACAAACAGACCCCACGATGTGGGGAACGGAGGCAGCACCATTCAGACAGCAGGGAGGACCAGGGCAGAGAGAGAAGGCAACTTGTCCCCTCACCCCCAAACTCCATAAACCTGGGGCTTCCAAAATCGGAGCCCTATGGGGGCTTTGGGGAAGGGTTGCAGCCAGGTTGGGCAGAGGTGACACAGCTGGTGGGCAGGAAGCCCAGCACCGCAAGATGGCTCGGCCTGAAGTGAGAGGAGCTGGGACAAAGCAGCCTGGAGCCCCCGGTCCCTTAGAGCAGAGCCTTACTCTGGGGGAGTCAGGGGGTGAGGTCTCTCCCTGAGCTGAGCATGGTCGTCTCATCCACAGCAGTGGTGGCACATGCCAGGGACCCGTCACCTTCTTATCCACCTCCTCCTTGGTCCCTTTAGATCACGCCTCATTGGCTCCAAGCCATGGAGCGCAGAGTGCGGAAGCAGGTCATCTGGGGCGCAGTCCCTCAACCCTGGCTCCCACAGGAGGACAGCGAGTCATAGAGGGAGTCGCTTAGAGATTCTGAAGTCTCCAGCCCGGGAGCGCCCCCACTGGCCGCTCTGCCTTCCTCGCCCATGTCCGACGTGCTGGGGGTACGACTGCCTCCAAATGCCGGGCCCTGAGGCGTAGACATGCGGCTGGGATCCAGGCTCTGTTTTCCGTCTACGGGCAAGGCCTGGAGAAGAGGTTCTGCTTAGAAAGGAATCACACCCACCCGGTCTGCTGAGGGGGCCCACGGAGCCAGGGTTCTGAGGAGCAATGGAAGCTTTCTTCCAAAATGGGATGGGTGGGTAAGCTTATCCTCATGTCCTCTGGAGGGGCTGGCTGTACGCGCCTCACAGACATCCGTCTCCCAGTCTCTCCCTCCAGGCACCTAGCCCTCTTTCTTCTCCCTTCTGCAACCTTACCATGGGGGTCCTAGGCAGTCCCTCCAGTTGTCGGGGTGGGCACAGGAAGGGGTCACTGGAGCTGCCAGCTGTTCTGGTGTTGGGGAAGGTCCAGTTCTTGGCCAGCTGGACAGGTGGGGGAGGGCCTGGGTCTTCACAGGGATCTGTCCAGGAAGAAGGGGAAAGTGGACACGTCTGTCCAGCTCCAAGGATCCTCTTAGGGATGTGTTACCACTTGCTGGGACACTCACCATCAGGACAGGTCTGATGGCTTCGGTGGCCTGGGGGAGCCGTGAGCAGTCCAGGGAAGGCTGGCATGCTGGGGTGCCGCCCACTCACCAGCAGTTCCTCTATGCCTGGCACCTCGCGCTCTAGCGTGTGGGCACGGCGAGGGACTTTGGTGAGGCCTGGAGGCCGAGCTGGGGGTGCCCCTGGCGGGGGATCCAGACGCAGTGACTTGGTCTTGGGGAGATTCTTGCTGGGGGTTCCACTGCTGCTGTGATCTGGGGGTGGGAAGGTCCCAATGCCACTGTCCAAGGTTCGAGTCAAGGAGCCACAGGCTGTGGAGGAGAGAATGAGGCTCAGGCTCAGGTCATCCCACTCAGGGGTTTCCTGGCTCAAAAGGCTCCTCCTGCAGAACTCACCCCACCCCTGCAATTCCCCCTCAGCTTCGCACAGGTGCCCCTCAGGGCAGGGAGAATCCTTCCTATGCGGTCACTGAGATCCACATCCCCAACACTCAGGGTTGACCACCATGATGCCACCAAGGACCTGGCGCTGCTGCGGCGACAGGAGTGAGGAAAGAAGAGGACGGCTGACCTGTGAAGTGTGTGGTGGAAACTGGCTCTGTCAGGTTGTCTTCGGAGGGCATCTCTTCCCGCCTACCTGGCTCACTGCTGGGCTGTGTGGGTACAGGAGACCTGAGTGCCCATTCCAGTGCCTCCCCAGGACCCCCACAGCAGGCACAATGTAGACTAACAGCTTCCGGGTGTCTAGGAAGACTAGAGCAGGCCCTCAGCGCAGGCCCCGATCAAGAACTTACCTTCCCCGGTTTTCCGCAGCCCTGAAGTGGGCCTACCAGGCCATTCCGAGGTCCGCAGGCAGGCCAGGGGCTCTTGGGATCAGTGGACATTGTCTGGAAATCCCCATACTCAGGCTTGGGCTCCCGCCAGCTCTTGGGGGGCAGCTCCTTGCCGTCCACCCTACGGACAAGCGTGCAGTGGATGTGAGGGAAGCTGGTGCCTAGAGTCGCTAAGGTCCAGGCTGAGCTGGAGTGTCTGACAAGGCTTGAGGTACTGCACAGTACTGTTCCCAAGGAGGTGTTAGGATGGACATGCTTTTGGGCAGCACCAGGCAGAAGCAGGTGGGGCTCTGAATTTGAGGCCAGCCTGGTCTATGCAGATGTTTCAGGCCAGCCTACATATTCAGGCCCCTGTCTCAAGCACAAAAGATGAAAATCCTTTCAGAGGTAGGACCTCTCAGGAAGCGACTAGGATTAGTCATGGCCATGAGGGCACAGACCCTCATGTGACTGGTGGCTTTTAAAGAGGCAGATGCCAAGCACCACACTCCATGCCTCGTCCCATGACACCCTGGGTGGCCACAGGACTCTGGAAGCAGAAGGCAATCACCAAATGTGGTCCCTAGATCTCTAGAACCATGGGCTACAATGACCCTCTTTATAAAAGTAGTTTGTCTTAGAAACGCATTAAATTAGTGATACAAAACAGATTAATACACCAGCCACAAACCCTCCAATGCTGCTGGCTCTAGAGGGGTGTCTACTGCTGCCCACCCTAAGGAGAGGGACCTGTGGATGCTCTCTGTAACACTTCCTGAATCGTAGGAAAGGCAGATGGGTGGAGAGGGAGGAAGAGACAGGAGAGACAGGAGAGAACACGGAAGCCCACCTTCCACTCTTCCCAGGGTCACTGTGCCCAGCCCACGGACAGACAGAGCAGCTCACACTGCCCAGCTCACTGACAGACAGACCAGCTCACACTGCCTAAGGACCACATACAGCAGTCCTGGCCTGCTGCCCTGGGATTTAGAGAACATGGTAGCCCAACATTAATCCCTTTCTCAGGGACTGAGTCCTTCAGCCTTTTTTACTCAGTTGGCCTAGACAGAGTAAACGTTGTAAGTGGTCCACTTCCCTAAACCATGAAACTGTAGTAGCAGGAGTCCAAGGGGAGCTTTCTTGCCCCTTCCCCAAGGTGGACTTTCATCGGACTGGCTAGGAACCAGCCTTTGCTTCCTTATACAGATACCTGAGAGGCTGCAGGGGGGCAGGGGTACGGGAAAATATAGCGAATGAGAGCTAGCCTCACTGAGTTAACACCAGCCAGACGGTGAGGAGGACAGGGTAGTTAACGCCATTTTCTGAGTCCTAACTTGCATCTTGGCCGGGTCACCAGCTCACGGGTGTCTCGATGTTACTGTATTCGCCTTGACCTCTGGGAAGCTCAAACTCCCAGGGTGGCCCAGCGCATTGAATACCTGACCCCTGGTCCCAGGCCCTCACCTGTTCAGTAGCTGTTGCATGAAGGTGTCTGCACCCTGATACATGCCGGCTAGCTGGCCTTGCGCCTGCCCCAGACCGGAGCTGGGCACTGTGGCTGGGCCCCCAGGCCGTGGGCGGGCTCTGCTCAGATACGCCTTCTCTTCCTCTAGCGCTCGGCGCAGGTCTTCTGCCTTCGCCATCAGTTTGGAGATGTTGAGGCTCTCAGCCTCCAGCTTCCGGGTTTCTGTCTTGACTTCTTTCCGGAGTGGGGAGCTGCCCCCAGCCCCTTCCTTGTTTTTGGTAGCCTCTGTGCGGCGGTTCAGAGCTGGCAGCTTGCTCTTTTTAAGGCCGAACCAGCTGGCAATGCTGCTGGTGTTGCGGTGCTTGGCTTCGGAGCCCGGAGCCCGTTCCTGACCTTGAAGACGCAGAACGTTCTCCTCAATGCCCTTCATCACCTTCTCCTCGATGGCGGAGTGTGGCGCTGGCCCTTCCGAGCCCTGGTTTGGATCAGCGGGGCCAGGTACTGGGGATGTAGGCTGGCCAACTGTGCTGCCACAGTCTGCCCAAGGTGGGCCCTTCACTTTGTCAGGCTTGGGGGGCTCCTTGGTGCCCGAGGGTACCACAGGGCGGGGCACTACCTTGGTGGGTGACTTGGAGGGTAGCTTTGTTGGGCTGCTGTGAGGGCTTTTGGGTTTGACCAGGCTAGGGGCTGAGGTTGGCACTTTTGCAGGTGTGCGGGGCATCTGGGGACACAGAGCCCCTGCTAGCCGACTCTTGGCCAGCTCCACTTTGGTGAGGCAGCTCCTTGGTGAGATGGGCTCCAGGTCCACTCGCGCCCCCATGGAGTGGGAGGAGTAGACTCTGGCACCAGGATCCGTAAGTCCAGGTTCCTGCTGCTTCAGGCTGCTTGTGCCCAAGGCCATTGCTCCCCGAAAGATACCCTTAGCTTCTGGCTGTTCGATAGGTCTCGTGCTGGGAGGCGTGTCTCCAGCACAATCTCCTGACCGCACTAGTGCCCTGGCCTTCTCAGTGCTAGACCGGGCTGGCACTCCATTCTTTTCTAGACCCAGAGGCCCCTCAGGGCCTGTCTTCAGTTTTCCAAGTGCTGCCAGTCTGTCTCGCAGAGGTGTGTGGCTAGGATCACCGGGTCGACGCCCTGATCCCTGGCCAGGCTTCTTGGATGAACCACCTGGGGTCCTGCGACTGGGATGGGGAGACTCAGAGCCTGCTCTGTCCATGCTCTTCTCCTGGGGGCTGCTGTAGGGACAGGATTCTGGGAGGCCAGGGCTGGGGGCCCCAGGGCTCCTGAGGACCTCAGGGGTCTGGGGCACCTCCAGGGTCAGCTGTGGGTAGGTGGGCACCTGCAGTGGGGATGGAGGTGGCTCTGGGGAAGAACCCCTAAAGGTGTTCCGGGAAAGGTCCAGGATATTTTCAAAGCAGGGAGACACTACTGGTCCTGGAGACAGTGTAGAGGACACAGCTGACTGGGAGGGTCTGAGCTGCACAGAGTCTGGGATTGCGGAACAGGGTAGAGGGCTGCTGGGCAGGCCCTGTGCCCCCTCAGGGGACAGCTCTCCTCCACCCAGACCCCTTCGAGCCAGCAGTGGGGAGGGGCTACCATCTGAGCCACTGTTTCGGCAAGGGATCCGAGAACTCCGGGGAAGCTGGGGACTGAGTTGGGGCCCTCCTGGGCTAGGGACCTTCTCTGAGGCTGGAGGCAGCTTGAGAAACTTGAGACCTCTGGCTGGAGAGGGCAGAAGGGGTCCCTGGGCATCCCCAGGGGAAGGGGGCCCAATCTGGAGCTTGCTTTTCACCTGAGATGAGGAGTGGGGATGGCCAGGCCGGGAGCCCAGCGGGGCGTCCCCTGCACCCATGAACATGCTGAGGAAGGGAAGGGGTCCCTGGCCCTCTGAGGTAGCACCAAAGCCCAGCCTGGTGGCCTCTGGGGTACTTCCACCCCAAGCTGACTTTGGGAGGCCTTTGGACTTGGACACCTGTGGGGGTCCTGGATCTGGTGAGGATGGCTTCCCAGCACCTGGGTGGTCGCCATTCAGGGGGCCGGTAGCCCCGGCCAGGAAAGCTTGGAGGTAAGTCTCTGTGTCTCCAAGGAGTTGGCCCAGATTTAACTGCTTGCGTGCCAGGGCACCAAGCAGAGTGTCGGGGCTGGGGGCCTCATTGGGATCTCCTGCTTCATCAGAAGAGGATGAGGAGCTGCTACCCGGAGCACAGTGTGGGCCAGAGCTGGGGCCCTGGGCGGGCGGTGGGGCCCTGCTAGAAGCCCAGGGTTGCCGGATGCCTTCTTCTTCTCCAGGGCCCCCTAACACACGCTCCCAGTGCAGCAGTGCCCCTAGGCTCCCAGGACCGAGCAGCAGATAGGGTGCCCAGGGTGAGGGGTCAGGCTGCGGTGGGCCACAGAGCTCGCCGTTGATGGGCTCAGGGGAGCCAGGGCCTTGGCCTGTGGGCCTCCAGGGGGTGGCAGGTGAGCACAGGAGCAAAGGGTCCGTCTCTTCCAAGGCTCGCAGCACCTCTAAAATCTGAGCTTTCTTCCGAAGGAATGGGGACAGGGCATCCAGCGCTGGGGGTGGAGTGGCCGGAGGTCCTGGGCCGCCTGGCCTTACCTGCTGCTCCCAACACACCTGGGAGGAAAAAAGGCGTGAGGAGGAGAGGCCATGTGGCTGGCACATGTGTCCCAGGCCTTAGGATAAACATCTCATAAAAGTATTCTAGAACAAGTTATCATGCCTGTGTCTGGCCCACAGGCGAATCCACAGCTCTTAGGATAAGACACCTTGGCCTCCTCGAGGATCACTGAGCCCCGCCTAGCCAGGCTGTCGTACCTCACACTCCGAGTAGACTGGGCACCCCATGTCCAGTCTCCCATCCCCACTATTCTCTTACACTGCCTGCATGACCAATCACAGTGCTAGGCTGGGCTTGTTCTAGAATGGAGGGAAGCCTGCCTGTGTTCTGGCTCCAGAAAGTACAGAAGTTCAAGAAGAGGCTGTATCATAGCCGAGACCTCAGTCTCACACGGCAGGGAAGCCTGGGCCCTGCCCAGTCAGAGAGCTGACTGGTAGACAGGAGTGCCGGCAGGCCTGGGGATGGCCCCGTGCAAACCTTCTCTGTTGCCCAGCCCTGTCCTGCACAGTGCTTAACTGCACGTGCTCTGGAGTCAGGATATCAACTCCAGTTCTACCTCGTTCATGTGACCTTCAGCGAGTCGTCTGACCTCCAAGTGTCATTGTGTCAGCTGTGAAATGGGATAGTGATTATGTTTAGCCCCACAGAGTCAGAGCCCTGTCTAAGGGGTCCTGCACAGTCGGTGCTCAGCACGGAATGAGCCTGCAAGTATGCACTGTGACTCCCGCTGTGTGACGTCATACGTTTGCTTGCAGGCCGTGACTGGAGGAGGGGTGGGCCTGTTTTTCTTGGTGTGAGGCTGACAGCTGAGGGCTCACACTGCCATCCTGGACAGGACCCTGCATAGGAAACAACCTTCCCCCTGAGACTCGTTAAGAACCCACAGTGGAGCCTCTAGCCAATGAGACACAAACCCCAGCGCCCACTGCTCTTACCTCTCTTTGCCCAGCACAGTGTCCTAAAGGCAGTGAGGTGGACAGTCCCTCAGTGGCGTTTGGGGATGGGGAGGCTGGTCGTTCTGATGGCGTCTGGAGGGGGGTGAGTGGGATCTGCAGAGAGAACACAGTGTTATTGACCCCTCAAAGAGCCAGGCACAGACCCACGGTGCCCTCCAGAGATGCCTCCTGACCTACGATATGGCTCTTACTGTTGCCCTCTGCTGATGAGGCCTGAACACAGGACAGTCTGAAGGCCTACAGGTCTGGGGGACGTGGAAGCAGACGAGAGCAGAGGATTTGGGCTGGCAGACATTTGCAGGGCACAGAGGACAGTGGTGGGTCTAACCCAGTGTGCCTAGCTCGGCTCCAAAACGACTTTGCTTTCTCACTTAAAAATAACACTACCATGAAGGTCCCTTCCTGCTTTGACCACCCAGGATCTAAAAAAAAAATGAAGACACACCAGGCGGTGGTGGCACTTGGAAGGCAGAGGCTGGTGGACAGCCCAAGTTCTAAGATAGCCAGGGCTACATAGAGAAAACCTGTCTCGGAAAAAAATGAACACTTCTCCACACCCCTTCCCCACAAAAAGCCAGGCACAGTGGCATGCAGTTTACTCCAGCTTGTGGCTAGCAAGAGGCCAGCAACAAGCCGGGCGGTGGTGGCGCATGTCTTTAATCCCAGCACTTGGGAGGCAGAGGCAGGCAGATTTCTGAGTTCAAGGACAGCCTGGTTTACAGAGTGAGTTCCAGGACAGCCAGGGCTATATAGAGAAACCCTGTCTCGAAAAAAAAACAAAAAAAAAGAGGCCAGCAGCAGGCCCTCTTCCTTTCCTGTGTCTCTCCAGGACAAGGTGGACGGCATCTGAAGGACATCACACCAAGGCTGACCCCAGCCGTGCAGGCTCTCACATGCGCTCTCTCTCTCTCATGCACACACACTCACACGTGCACACACACACACTCAGACGCATGTATATACTCTCTCTCTCACACACACACACAAAAGGCAGTGAGCATGTTCCCCGGTCTCATGCGAGACATCCACTCTCCAGATAGTACAAGGAGCCTGCAGCCTGGGCTTCCTATTTTGCTGGTTCTCTTGGTCCTTGGAGTTCTCTTACAAGTTGAGTGGGGATGAATCAGCTTTAACCCTTCACTTACCTCATCCCCCAGAGCCTTAAAACCCTTGTAGCATCTAGGCCTTGCCTTTGGTCATCTGCAGCCCAGACCTGCACTTCCGGCCTGACAGTGCTTGCCATCCCAACCTCCTTGACCCCGTGACCCCTCGGAGTGGCTTTTAGTTTGGTACAAGGAAGCTAACCTGTCCTCTTCCTAAGTGCTTCTGTGCTGTGAGGCCTCTTTCCCTGGCCGCTGGCTGCTTAGATCCTCTGCCCCCAGGCTGTGGATTCTTCAGGCAGCTCCTGCTGTTCTTCCTCATTTCCTTTCACACATCCTTCACCCACCTAAGCTGTAAGTGTTCTGTGCCGCCCTCTGGTGTTCCCTCCATGGGGATTCCCTCTCCACAGCCATCTACAGACTGTCAGGCTCCTTTCCACCCGCACACAGGGCCAATGCCAGTTCCTTGCAGGAACTTCCTTAAGTCTGTGTGTATGGTGTGCATGCATGTGCAGATGTGCATGCACGCATGCACGCATGCACACACGCATGTTCTCGGGCACTGTTCCTCAGGAGTCACCTGCCCTGTTTCTTAGAAACAGGGCTCATCACTGGGACCTGGGGCTCAAAGAGTAGTCTCAGCTTAGACTGTTAAGTGCACAGCTTCAAGTCCAGCTTTTTACATGTGGTGCTGGGGGTTACATACAAGCCCTAACGTGTGCATGACAAGTCCCTTACCACTGAGAAAGCACTCCCCAGGCCTCCTCGTCCTCTGAGGGCTAGTTGTCCCTATCCTGTACCCGGGGACGAGCAGGGCTGCCACACTTGACTCTGTAGCATGGCTGCCCATAGCTGTGTCTTAGCAGTCTCAGCCTCCCAGGGACACACTCACCCTGCACAGGATGTAACACCCACAAGGCCTTGAAATCAGTTCAGTTCCTCAGGCCTTGGCAAAGGCATGGCCCCCAAGAAAAGCTTAATTAGTGTCTGCTCAATGGAGCTCTCAACCCGGTGAAACACACCCTGGGAGTCACCCTAATAATACTAAACCGCCGCTGTTTACTGACTTTCTGTGAACCAAGCACTATAGATTACCTCATTTAATCCTTTGGAAGGGGAAACCTATAGTTTATAAACTTTGATACTCTGCCCAAGGTCACACTTAGCTAAAAAGCAGTTCAATTGGAAACCCGACCCCAGTTTATTTGAGGCCAACATTTAACACTTGTAATTTTCCATTGCGTCATGGTAATGTGGGGGAGAGATCTACTGGACCGACCCTCAGTGATCCTGGAGTTCATTCAGGTTTTTAACAAAAAGTGACTTTAGGTTGCTCTGTGTTTGGTTGTCAGTCACTGGGATGCAGGAAGCCTGGCGACAGCTAGGCCTCGGGGGTTCCTGCAGAGGCAGGACAGCGGCGGGGGCAGCTGTGGACTATCCACTGCTGCCTGGGATCCGGTTCACAGGGAATCAGATACCCGGTTGGAACACATGTTCAGACAGACATGGCTCAGCTCTGCCCTGATAAAGTGCTTCCTTCCTTATCAAAATGGGGGCAGGGGCTGGCTGCCCTTAGAAGCAACCTGCTAGTCTCCTCAACTTCCAGACCTCTCTTCTCTCTGCGTCTTATTCCATCCTTGGGGCTCCTGACAGGGTGACATCCATGACAACTGATCCCAGGACTCATTCCCAGAGCCAGCCCTTCCCCCCCACATTCCCCCCACCCCCACTGTTCCCAGGGTGGGCAGGGTCCAGGCTGCCAGCAGAAAACAGTGTCTGTGAACGTGCAAGCCAGCATATGCGGCTGTCCACACTCAGTTAATGGGGTGAAGTGCCGTTCTTGTCCTCTCTGTGACACGCAGCTCTGGGTTCCTTATGCTTAGCCCTGCCCTGGCCCTGGCCAGGAAGAAGCCACGTCAGTGGCCACAGAGGCCTCTAGGGAGCTGGAAATAACTGCATTTGCAGCCTCCACCCAACTCCCCACACAGGGCAGGGTAAATCCGAACTTTCTCTGTTAATAAGAAGGGGTACACTGGGAGTGAGGGCCATGCTTCTCATCTTAGTACTTGGGTAGCTGAGGCAGGAGGATTGCTGGAGTGTAAGTTCAGCCAGGGATGCAGAGTAAGACCCTATCCTCCCCCTCCTCTTCCAACAACAACAACTAAGAATACTGTCTGGCTTAGTAGGGAGAACCTGGGAATAGCATGACAGATCAATCTGCAGAGACTTGGGAAGTTTTCCTTCAGCTAATATGCAAGTCTGTTAGTCCGAGTACGCCTTCCCCGCATGGCCACGGGCCCTGTGTTGAGGACAGCTGACACCCTGCTTCTATGAGGTGAACAGAAGAGAGCGGATGCTAATGGGGCCCACAGGAGAATGTTCTGCCCACCTGAGGGAGGGAGCTGGCCGTGAGCTGTAGCTTCTGCTGCAGCAGTGCGTTCAGCATCTGATTCTGCCGCTCCAGGTCAAACACCCTCTTCTTCAGCTTGATACACTCCTCCCGCAGGTCCTGTCCACCCAGGAAGGACAGGAAACAAAGGTGAGGAGGCAGGAGAGGGACTGCGACTTCCCGCCCCAGCCAGCTGTACTCACAGCTACAGCCTCTGGGGATGAGTTCTCTAGGTTTACTATCCTAAGGAACGGTAAAGGCCAGTCTCTGTCACTTCCACCATTTCTGCAGCTGGCTTCCTCCCTCCTAGAAACCATGTCAAAAGGGAGGGCGTCTAAGACGTGGGAGAGCCTGAAGTCAAAGCGGCCCATGTCACAGCGATCCGAAGAGAACATCTCAAGGTCGCTGAGGCTCACAGCGTTGGTAGTGTTTTGAAGGAGGCAGAGAAATCAGCTAGGCTCTGAGTAGGAGAGGGTACTCTAGTCAAAGCTCCCATGGTTCAGAGACCTGGCTTAACCAACCCACTCTGCTTCCTGGGAGAGAATAATTCACCAATCATAGGCAGCGGCATGGACCAAATGGGCCAATAGGGAGCTTCTCCTAGGCCACTCTGTGGTGGCAGAGACCTAGTTGAGCAGGTCTCTGGAGTCTCAGGGCAGGGTCTCCTGACTATATACCCTGGGTCTATCCTGCAGCAGTTCGGTGGGAGTGAGATATTCCTGAATCCACTCACCTTCTGGTTCAGCAGTGCCTGCACCACGTGGTTGGCAACCTGGGGACACAAACCCAGGAGCTGAGCTGACACCGTGCCCACCCACCCTGTCCCCAGCCCTGCCCTTTGGCAAACCTCACAGACCTCATCCAGGCAGCGTTCGTAAGTCTCCCGCTGACTCTCATTGGCCTGTGCAAGCGCAGAGTTCTCTGCCTACAGGGGTGAGGTGGGAAAGGGAAACTTTGAGGCTGATTGTACCCTGGGAGTGAGGGAGACAGAGTGGACAGGCTTTGCCATGTCCATCAAACTCCTGGGCCAGGGTTATCTGACCATTTACCCAGTAGCCTCTATGGCCACCACTGTCCTTGGAGCTAGCAGGACCATAGAGGTGTGAGGAAAGACACCTGGGGCATAGGACGGCTACACACCCTTTGCTGCCGCCTGAGCTGGAGAGGGAAGAGGGACAAGGGGCTTCCTAGGGGAGTTTTAGTAAAGAAACGTCCAGCCCTCTCCCGCCTGGCAAGCCTTCTTCTCCACACAGAGCTCAGAGCTGGGCAGCCCTGACTTCCCAGGGTTCTACCTGGCACCACCGCCCTACCCTGTCTGCCCCCACACACCTCCAGCTCCCGAAGTCGGTGCAGGAGCTCCTGGCAGGTGCCGAGCTCCATGCTGCTGTCTTCTCCCGACGCTGGCCTCAGGTTTCCAGTGCCTCCGGCTGGCTGGTCCATGGCCTTGGGAGTCAGGCTCTGGGAACAAGGCCTGGCAGGCTACTCCCAGGCAGACGAGAAATAGGCAAGAAGAGAAGGCAGGAGGAGGATGACATAACTCTCTAGTGACCTCTGTTACACTTGCGATAATGCAACAGCTCAAGGTCGGCCTGGGTGAGTCCCCTTCACTCTTTCCATTTGGGACAGGATAGAAACCTCAGCTCTCAAACACACCCTGCACAGACCCCTAAGTCTCTGCTGGCCAATCAGCTGCCCTGAGATTCAGCATCCCTGTTTACGAAGTAACTCCAGCTTCAACTCATGAACCTCACCATTGACCTAACACATAAGTCTGCCAAGGGACTTTATTTATTTATTTGGTTATATGAGACAGGGTTTCTCTGTGTAACAAGGCCTGGCTGTCCTGGACTCGCTCTGTAGTAGACCAGTCTGGCCTTGAACTCACAGAGATCCGTCTACCTCAGTCTCCTGAGGGCTAAAGGTGTGCACCACCACGCCCCGCACTGAGGGGATTTGAGAGTAAAGATGAGCTCAATCTACGGCTCAGCAGGTAAGAGGGCTGCCTGCTCTTCCTGAGGACCCAGGTTCCCTTCCCAGCACCCACAAGCCAGCTATGCTTTGTCTCCTCCTGGACACACCACAAAGCATCCTTGGTGCCTTCTCTACTCCCTCTTCTGGCTCCAAATGATCCAGGCACTCTGAGAGAGCTTAAAACACTGGTCCCAGTGGGCCAGCGGCTTTGCACATGTGGACCTCTCCGCTGGGGCCTCTCGATGCCACCTGCCTTGCAGCTCAGCCAGGTCTTCCTATTGCCCTTCGGGCTCTCAAACTCTATCTGTGATGATGCTGTTCTCAGCGGTTCTATAATGGTCCTTGGTTAACAGCTGACCAAGGCTGTTAGCTTTCTGAGCGCAGGGCACAGTACTCACTTCCCTGACCAAACTCACTCTTCCTGTGTAACCTGGCATGCAGGACACAGACTGAAGACCAGAGACTAGTCTGCCCCGGACACACACGAGCACAGCAGAGCTTTGACTGACACTGCGTTGTGTCCCTCCCATCAAGGAGGCTCCCGCTGTTGCTGTTAACTTGACACGACACGTCTTCCATCTTTCATCTGAGACCCTGCGTGTCACGGCTCGAATCTGAAATGTTCCCCTTGGGCTCATCTTGAGCCCATGTTTCCTGAGCAGTAATCTTTAAGATCCTTCAGATCTTCGGAGGATATAGCTTGCTCTCTAAGTTCCCGGCTCACTGCTTCCTGCCCAGTAGTTGTGAAGAGTCTTTACCTCAGACTTTTGCCACCTCAGACAAAGCTACTTTACACTGACTTCCTTGCCAAGAGCCGAAAAAAGTCTGGCTTTTTTTTTTTTTTAAATGTTATTTCCATCAGGTATTTTGGGCACAGTGACACAAGAACAATGAATATATCTCAATGTGGGACCTAGGTGCCAAGGGCCACGTGCCTCTTAGTCTCCGCCTAAGCTCCACTGCTTCATCGTTGCCTGATTAAAGGCCCCATAAAAGAGAATTAGACATTGTGGATCAGAGAACCTCTCAGCACCTGATCCTCACTCTCCTCCATGTGAGGCACAGTGCGGCCTCTCTCGCCCCAGCTCCTTCCCCTGTCCCAGCATGCACTGGCCCTGGGCCCCTCACCGGTCTCTGTCCTGTCACCAGGCTGGCACGGTCACTCTGGCAGCCAGATGTGTCACCTCACCTGTAAAGAATTAGAGGAGCGGTGTCAGTGCAGCCTTCCCTCCGTAGTGGGTCTGCCTTAGCACGCAGTGGGTCTGGAGTAAGCCGGGAGCCCTGCCTTTTTGCTTTCAAAGTTTCTACTTAACAGACAAGGGAGACGGACAGCAGGAAGCTCTGACAACAGGCAGAGGCCCGCATGGGGTCTAGATGAAACCCAATGGGAAAGCATTCAGAGCAAAGAGCCAGTGGCAAACTTTTAAATCCACTCAACCTTCCCAGTTTTTGTCTGGTGACATGGTTCCACTTGCCCCACAAATGTCCCCAGATTCCAGCCAGAAGTCATTTGCCTCCCAGGTGAGACTTCAGTGCCCTTCCAAACCCACACTGCCGCTAATCTCCCCATCACAGGAGGAGATAAATGCTATAATCAATGCTTGTATTTAGAGCAAATTAAGGAATAGCTATCCTAGCATACACTGAATCTACTCTGTGTGCGTTTAGTGTCAGAAGGCTTTTTTGTACCCCTGCATTAATGTCTCTGACAACACTGGCTGGGGTTTCCAGCATTCTCGGGTAAAAGATCTTGCTGTAAAATCCCACATCTAGTTCACACAGTCCACTGGACAGGCATGGATGCCCCCTGCTCTGTGGTCTGAGCTGTACACATCCAAGTCTTACCGTCAGCTACATCAAACAGCTTATATACGAGCTCTGCCCAGCCCAGGGCCATGGTAGACAGAGCTTGCTGTATGGGATCCCAGAGCCCTACAGCTGGACAGACTTGGGTAAAGACACTGACTCCAGAGAATTACTTTCCTGGCTTAAGAAATGGGTAAGATTACTCAGTGCAAAGGGCAGGCGGAGGACACACTGGGGTAACAAATACAGTGTTCGGCATGAGCTCACTGGACACTTTGGATTAGGCAGTACAAAACCTTCGGTGGTCTTGGGCTCACAGTGAACCCAAGTTCCAGGCCCCCCACACTGGAGTCTTAGGTGCAGGGTGTCTACATGTCTTAGGCACTGCCTAACCTGGCCTGCAGTGTCCTCTGAGGACCTCCCCTTCCAGGCCTCTACCCTGTCAGCACAGGGCAGGCCCAGTCTTCCTAGGTCTCTTCCCCAAACACTTGAAAGGAGTCAGCTTGAAGTTCTGAGGCCAGGAATAATAGGCAAAGGAGAGAAATCTTTCTGATTTGTGTGTGTGTGTGTGTGTGTGTGTGTGTGTGTGTGTGTGTGTGTGTATGTGTGTGTGAGTGTCCTTATGGCATGCCAGCTAAGCATTCTGCCACTGAGCCCTAGGCCCAAATGTATACACGTATTCCATAGTGGGTACGGGCCTCTGAAAGCAGAAGATGAAGAATTATGTAATACTTTTTTTTTTTTTTTTTTTTTTTTTTTTCTGAGACAGGGTTTCTCTGCGTAGTCCTGGCTGTTCTGGAACTCACTCTGTAGACCAGGCTGGCCTCAAACTCAGAGATAAGGTTGCCTCTGCCTCCCAAGTGCTAGGACGAAAGGTATATACTACCACTGCCTGGCTTAATACTAGTTTTAAATACTCCACAAAAATGTATAGTCCTGGCAGTTGGAGAGACAGCTCATTTCCTGCTCCTGTAGAAGACTAGGGTTCAGTTCCCAGCACCCACATGGCAGCTCACAAGCATCTGTAACTCCAGTTCCAGGGGGTTGGTTCATCACCTTCTCCTGACCTCCAAGGGCACTGCAAAGATATGGTGCACTCACACAGTGCAGGCTGAACACTCACACACATAAAATAAATACAATAAATCTTTTTTTTTAAGTTAAAGACCTTTGTTATTTTAACATTGTAACATGAGCCCAGTCTAACTCGGTTTGCTCCCGACATCCTCGCATTTGGTATATTTAGAAATGGGGGCCTGGGAAAAAATGAAAGCAATTTTAAGAAGTTGTTTCCCTTCCCACACACAACGTAGAGGCCTCAGGTTACATTCACCAGTCAACAGCTCTGCTCTCACCCTCTACACTGTGTCCGCTTATCAACTCCAGCACCAGTCTGCGGCTCCTGATGACCAGGGACCATCAGCGTCCCCCTCAACCCTACACTCTGTGTCCTCCCCATCCCAGCAACCCCCAGGGAGGAGCAGTTGGCACGAATTCAAACATCTGTGCCCTGGGAAGGTGACTGGGATACACAGGGCAAGGCCCAGCGCCTGGAAATGAAAACACTAGAGCCAGGGGAAGTGTAACAGCTTGTGCTCTTCACAGGGAGACAAAACCCAAAAAGAACACAAAGGTCATTTATCAGGGTGTCTCTTCATAAAACCATTAAGAAGCATGCCAGGCAGGAATGAGGGCCAGAACTCGAGGTCACTGTAGTCTTCTTCTGTACTGAATCACATGACCACTACCCCTCTCCAAATGTGACCCCTACAGAGGCAGAGGCAGGGGCCGGTGGGGATGCACTGGACACCTGACGTGTCTTAGCTATGTGAGAGTAACGGTCGCTCCTGCAGCACTCTCTGCAAGGGTTGCCTCAAGGAAAATTGTGAGTCACTCCCACTGCGGAGAGACGCCCGCTGTACCCTGACCCAGAAGCCTTGGCCAACCCAGGGTGGAGTCTGCAGGCAGCCACCAGCAGAGAGCAGGAAGCTTTCAGCCACACAGGGGAGGAGTCATGAGAAAAGCCTCACACTTAAACTTGTGCTGGGGAGGGGCCACATCTACATCCGTGTTACATTTGTGTGTTTGTGTGCCCGACCACGTGCCACACGTCACACACAGAGGTCAGCGCGGTGGGTAACCTGCAGCAGTTGGTCCTCCCCTTCTACCATGTGGGCCTAGGTTGTCAGGCATGGTGGGAAGCAACCTTACATCCTAGGAAGCTGAAGAGTTATTAAAGAAGGTAGGTGTGGTGGCACAAGCCTGGAACACTTAGGAGCTTAGGTAGAAGTGTCACGAGTTCAAAGCCAGCCTGAGTCACACACAGGGATAGTCATTTAGTCTTAAAATTTTTTAAAGATTTTTCAAAAAACCTTCCTGTGGCCCTCTAGGGAACACTAGAATCCACAGTGACAGGATCACCTGGATCTCCAGATGATGGCTGCATTAAACAAAGCCGGCATAAGTCTTTTCCCCAGAGGCCGAACATGTGGGATGTCACTGAGCCTCGGCCAAGCACTCTCCTCCTCCTCCCTTGGGGCTTAGTCGGACCAGTTGCTGGGGAAAACCCAGGCTTGGATCCTAGGATGGCCCTGGTTTCAAACATTCCTCTGTGCATCAGAGAGGTTGGATCAGAGAACCCCTTGCCAGCCAGGCTGGGTAGTGGGGAGGAGGCTGGGTTTAGAAACTCTAAACTTGACTGGAAGCTTCTGATAGAATTGCAAGTAAGAACTGCAAGCAAGAGGCCCCTCCCCTCATAAGGGGCCTGATTCACAGGGAAGTGATTTCAGTGGGGAGGGGGGAAGGGCAAGCTGACAGCTCTCAGGCAGCAGGGAGACAGGAAGGGAAAACTGCTGAGAAGTGTCTGGTCAGTCAGGCATGTGGCTCACACCTGTGCTCTTGATGCTGAGGCAGGAGGACTGCTGGGAGTTAACGTTGTGAGATATGACACACCAGCCTGGATTAGAGCAAGACCCTGTCTTTAAAAAACAAAACACAGAAGGATATGGAATATGTTCCCCTTATGTAATCTAAGAAACAGGTTTTCAGAGCAGGCCTTTAATCCTAGCACTTGGGAGTTCCAGGTCAGCCTGGTCAACAGAGAGTTAGTTCCAGGCTACACAGAAGAAACTCTCTCTTGAAAAACTTTAAAAAAAGAAAAAAAAAAGAAAGAAAGAAGAAGAAAACCCCAAATAAACAGAGTGAAAATTTGGGGCTGGAGAGATGGCTCAGTGGTTAAGAGCACTCTCTGCTCCTACAGAGGTCCTGAGTTCAATTCCCAGCAACCACACGGTGGCTCACAACCATCTGTAATGGGGTCTGATGCCCTCTTTTGATGTGTCTGAAGACCGCTACAGTGTACTCATATATACATAAAATAAATAAATCTTTAAAAACAAAAACCAAAAAACCAACAGAGTAAAAATTTAAACTCCAAAGTCCGGTGGTTCACATCTGTAATCCAGGGCTTGGGAGGGGGACGCAGGAGAACTGGGCCAGTCTCAGCTACAGCAGAGCCTGCCACAAGCCAACAAAGAAATGCCTTTATCTCCCAAACCCACAGCCAGGACTTGTACATGCAAAGCACTGAGCCCCCAGCCCTGAGCCTTTAAATCTAGGATGCTAGGACAGACAGAAGATTCTGCACCTCAAACACAGATCTTGCCATCCTGGCCTTTAGTCAGCCAAGGAGAGCAGAGGATCTGTGCCCACAGACCATTCTCTCCAGTGGTGTGTGTGTGTGTGTGTGTGTGTGTGTGTGTGTGCGTGTGTGTGTTGTGTGTGTATGAGAAGCATGGTTGCCTGGTCTCTATCTCTCCTTACTGGGCCATCAGCCAAGGCCTTCTGGCCCTGAGGAGCCCCTCACTTCCCAGCTGTTCCCCAAACAGTCCTCCTGGGAGAAAAGCCAGGGCAGGGGTGGGAGAGGAGTGAGCAGGGGCAGGGAGGAAGAGATCAGGGCTTACTTAAATTAAAGAATCATCTGTGACACCAGCCAGTTCAGTCCCCTGCCAGCTGCTCTCTGGTGTCCCAGCCTGTCACACCCTGGGGTCCACTTATAAACAGCAACCTTAGCACCCACAGCAGACACAGAGCAGGCAAAGAGCAGCCCCGGGATGCAGGGGGTGTGAGCAAGGACCTGAGAGACTCCACTTCATCTCTGGCTCAAAGTACCTAAGAATTCCAACTGGACTCACTCCTTCCACAGGGAAAGAAGCCAAGAAACAGTGGCTGTCCCCCCGGCTGGTCCTGAGACACAATGGACCTTCTGCAGTAATGCCTGTTGGATCCTCCTTCCAACTCTGTTCACTGGTACTCTAAGAACCCACCACAGACGTGCAGGTTCTTCCAAACCCAACTAAGCAGGACTGGGCTTATCCTACTAGG